AGGAATTATTGAGGTTTGGTCCTCTGTATTGTAATGCTAAATTCTGTCTTTACACAAAGGTTTAGGGCTAGGAGTGAATTCTCACAGTTACAAGCTTTTGTTGTGCAAACTTTGCTCCTTGATTTAAATCTATTGGTTAAATAAAATTGGCTACAGACAGTTACTGGAGGGATAAGAGGTAGGTGAGTTTTAAGTTACCTGACTGGGAGTGGAGAAGCAAGAGGAAAGAGAGGAGAAGGCTCCATGAGAGGAGATGGACCATGAGCACATGGCCAGGAGAAACAATAAGTATTTGGGGAACACCACTGGGGAGGTAGGTAGCCAGACTAGCAGTTAGAAAAGTCGACTAGGGGTTACCCCCCAGTAATTGTCAAAGCCAAATCAAATAACCATAGTCTGAGTCTCATTTATTTGTAAGCTAGTCAGGATAAGCTTAAATTGGTTCTACTACACCATGTGGCCAGAGTTACCACCAAGGGCCAAGAGGATGTTCATCGTCAGAGCTGCCACAAGAGACCATGTGGATATCTGAGGGCTGTGTTGCTGAGGGGGGTAGGGGGGACATGCTCATCTGAGTGGCCTGCACTGCCACCTGAGACTATGGAGACATCTGGGTCTAGGCTGCTACTGGGGGCCATGTCTGGGTTCATGGTCCTATGGCAACTGGGATCTATGTTGATGTCCCAGGCCCTTGTTACCACCAAAGGCCATGCAGATGTCCCTGTTCTGGACTGCTGCCTAAAGCACTAATCCCACCCTTTGCTTGGGCAACACAGTAGAGCTGACCCTGGTCATAGGGCTTTGGACGAGCTTGGGAAAGCTGGCCTCTACCCTGATCTGCTGTAGGGTGACACAGGCGAGGGATACGTTCCTTCATTTGATTTTCTCTGTGGTAGGAGGGTGAGCTGGATGCAAGGTCATGAGAGTGGGAGAGCTGTCCCCACCCCTCACTGGTACCCTGGACTTTACCTGGGCAGCATAGTAGATCTGGCACGGGTTGCTGGCTGCAAGTTTGCCCTAGCAGTGTGAACACAGGTGAGCTGGTGGGCTGATCAAGTCAGTTACCTCCCAGGCCTAGATCCAGGGCTTTGAGTTGGCCCGCCCCAACATCTACCCCATCTATGATTTGCTGGAACGTGAGAAGGGGCAGGTCTTGCAGATCCAAAGCTTCAGGATTTCCGTGACACAGGGGAACGATGGGATATCCAAGTCTCTGTGAAGATCCAGTGTGGATAGTGTAGCAGAAGCCAGAGACCTCAAACCAGATCAATGACTCACTGCAACGAACATTTGCTAGGAAAGATGTATGGACAAAAGGGTGTACCGTGGGACACACTGTGACACACCACAGCTTCCACAAGATTTTTTTTTTAATCTTATTTTTTTCTGTTGGGGAGGTTGCAAGGGCAGGGGGTGGCTATAAAGGGATAGGGAGATTCGTGGGATTGGGCTATAAGATGTGACATTCCCAAGGAATCATTACAAAAATTAAAACATTGTGTTTTTTGTTTTTGTTTGTTTGTTTGTTTGTTTTGGTTTTTCGAGGCAGAGTTTCTCTGTGTAGCCCTGGCTGTCCTGGAACTCACTCTGTAGACCAGGCTGGCCTTGAACTCAGAAATTCACCTGCCTCTGCTGGGATTAAAGGCGTGTGCCACCACCGCCCGTCGAAACATTGTTTATTTAAGATCAACAGATTAGGAAAGTAGTCATGTGTAATACAATGTAGTAGCATCGTGGATACTTCATTAATTTATATGCATTAATAAGAAAAAGCCAAACAGAGGGAAAATGGAGGGAATGCTTGAATGTGCATCTTAAAAACCAAACACTATGGGCAGGCAAACCATAGGAACTCTGCTAAGCCTCATCAGACATCAGAGATGGGTTTGCTTTGAGGTAAATGTAGACTTACAGAGGACTTAGTTATAAGAATAGGAGGTTCTCAGAAACACTTCAACCAGCTTCTCCTACGTATGTTTACATAATAAAAAGACATTTTTCAAAATTGGACAGTTAATCTTGACATAATAGAAATCAACTACAAATCTGTCGGGGTTTTCACCACTCTTTTTGTTAATGGCCACTTTCTTTCTCAGGAGCACATCTGGAACTGTCCATTGCTTTTACCCATAGTCCTCAGTCTATGGTAGTTCTTTAAGCTCTTCCATTTTGCCTTCACTTTCTGGATCTATTTTATGTCTACAAGTGTGTATGAGGGTGTCTTTACTTGTACACTGTACACGAGTGTGGGAGTTCATGGAGGCCAGCGGTGTCAGATCCCCTGGATCTTTACAATTGATTGTGAGCTGCCTGACATGTGGGGACTCAAACTTACGTCCCCTGCAAGAGCAGCACACTCTCTTAACAGCTGAGTGAGATCACCAGCCCTCTGTCCTTAGCCCCTTGATGAATTTCAGTCATCTAATTTGTCAATGTCCCCCCATTTTGTTTTGTCTGATATTTCCTCTTGATGAGATAGAGATTACATATGATAATTCCATACCACATAAAGCCCTTTGATCTGTGTTGTGCCACACATAGGAAGGTGGTTCTGTGTTATAATGGAGCTGAACAATGTCTATTGCCCAGATGTCCCAGGATAGTGAATTTGTAGGGAGGTGCATTACTCCTGTCTTTATGGGGATGCTGGTGCAGACAAACACACAGTGCTGGTCTCGTAAGAGCACAGCACATACAATTATGTAAAGTACATAACTGATAATGAAAATATGTGGCTGTTACCAGTTTATGTAGTAATCTATGCATTTTGAACATTAGCACATTCTTACTTACACTGTAAACTAGTATGTTTTGTTGTATGGCTAGCAGCTTCATAATTCTTGTTTTTCCTGAGTCTCTCAGTTGTTTGGGGAGCTACAATGAGTTGTGACTGAGTTAGGGGAAGAGCTGGGAGTTCCTCCAGACTGAGCTCTCACAAAGTCCCAGAAAGCCACTTAGAGAGAAGCAGGCAGTGGGTAAAGTGCTTGCCGTATCACTAACTTTGAAATTCAAGGCAGCTGAATCTTCCCTTGCTGCAAAGGTGGCTGGAAACCATGTAACTGGTACTTCCAGATTCTTTAGGAGAGAGGGAGTCTCTGCCACATTAGGCAGGGAAACTTTACCCAGGCAGGGGTAGGACACTAACCAGTCAGTAAAGAAATGCCAACGTCTACTACAGCTCATTATCTTAGTGAACATAGGCATCCCTGAAGCTAACAATTTTAATTTGCTAAAAAGTATATTTAAGGTAATATGGCTTACTGATTTTATTTGGCATAGCTGTGTACCTAGCTTCCTTTGCAATTAAGACATGTCTATTTAATAAGTGAGGCAAATATGGAGAGGACTCCATTTAGAATTTCTGGAGACATCTGCTTCTCCCATGTGTCTGCAGGGCAGGCAGTTTTCTGTTTTTTTCCCTGTCTTCCACATGGGCATGACATCTGATACCGCAGTAATCTCTAACAAGGTAACAGCATCAAAGAAGAGAGCCAACGTGGGAAGATGGCACCCAGTGCAGAAATGCACCCTTTCCCCTCCATATGAGGACCATTCACAGGTACAACATTCTAGGAAACGTGCAACAACACATTCTCATTACTTGACTGAACTAAACAGAATTAATCGCACAATACAGAAGCCGTAGTGTCTCTCTTGCCCTTAATTAACCTGTTGATTGACTTTGCCAATCAAGATCCACGAACTCCACAGAGTATACGGCATTTAAAGGTACCTTAACTTGGTACTTAAGAAATGTGCTGAAGAGTGCCTGAGTGTGATTCTTGGGTCCACTTTGGACAAATAAGAACCTAGTATGTGTGAAACTGTAAAGAGCTGGAGCTGCTGTGTCAGTAGCTGACACAGAAAACCCCTCAGTACAAGGCAGTAACACTGCAGAACCACCTGGACTCGCTTCTGCAGCTCTTTTCTAGGTCTCCTCCTAGCACCACCCCTACCCTCACTCCATCCCTGGTCAACTTTTGGATTCTCAAATTTAAACAGCCCTTCCTGTGCTGTGTCCTACACTTAGATGTATCACACTGCATCATAATTATCTGCACAACACTTTCTTTAGTTTTTTGAGACAGGGTCTCTTGTGGCCCAGGCTGGTTTTGAACCTACTATGTGGCCAAGGATGACCTTGGATTTCTGCTTTTCCTGCTTCTGCTCCAAATTCTGGGATTACAGGCATGTGCCACCACGCCCAGTTTCCATACTGCTGAGTATCAGGCAGGCAGCAAACAGGGTGACAGCTCTGCTGTGTTACCACATTCCTCTGTATACTGTTTCAGTCCCTTTACCGCTCTGCTCCTTTTAAAGTCTGTTTTTTAACTCACGTAACTCCTAGTGAAATACTCTGCACAGAACAGCACATATCATTTGCTTATGTGTTGGAGGTTAGAAGGTGATCTGTAGGACCTGGTTCTCTCCTTCCCCCATGTGGGTTCTGGGGAACTGAAGTCAGGCCATCCAGCTTCACAGTAAGCACTTAGACCCGCAGAGCCATCTCACTAGCTCTTATAGACACATTCTTAAACTTTCTGTGGATTATTATTAAAATATAAATTCCAGATTCCATCCATAAATTTCTATTTCAGTAGGTGAGTGAGCCACATTTTAAAGAACATGGAAATAGACTTCAGTGGTAAATTACGCATATAGTACTTCTGCAATGAATAGGTTGTTAATGTGCTTTTTGCAGGTTTATATACTGTTGAATATATTGTGCTGACTGCAAACTGTTTATGACATCTATGTCATGGTCACTTGCCAAGGTTGCTCCCTATGTGAATATGTGAACAAAATCTCCTACACTTCTGTTTGCTTTTTTCAAGACAGGGTCTCCCTGTGTAGTCTCCTGGAACTCACTCCATGAACCAGCATGGCCTTAAACTCAGAGATCTGCCTGCCCCTGCCTTCCAAGAGAGATTACAGGTGTGCATAGCCACTGCCCAGCAGAAACTTCTTAATTAGATTCAGTACTCAGTAAAATTAGCAAATCTTCTCAAAAAGAGGTTTTTATTAGTAAAGATAATTTCATACTAAAATTTTATACACTAAATACTTCCATCCACTGCAAGAGATATTAACATCGTCACACAAAGTGTGAAACATTCTTTCTCCATTCAATATGCTAGCTCTGTATTACCGTCACAGCATTAATACCAGGCAGAATTTATATGGCACAGGGCACTGAAAGTTCACTCTGTCCTCAAGACTGAAATGAAAAGATTCCTCTGGAAGCAAGATGTAAAAAACTTTGTAGTGAGTGCTAAGGGAACATTAGGCAGATAGAGGGACATAGTGCTCACGGCTGGAACAGACTGATAATGCTATCACTGTCGATGGGACCTGACGTGACAGCTGACTCCTGCCTCTGAATGGCCTTGTGGAGTACACTTGGGGCACTTAGGGGATACTTCAAGGTGTACAGCTAGAGTGAAATTTACGTGAGAAATGAAAATCAAAGTCCATCTGGGCAAACAGATAGTGTAAGAGGAATTATTTATAAATCTGAGATATGAGTAAACCAAGCCGGGGGAAGGAGCTGACAGGGGGCTATTAGAATCTCAGGATTGATCTTGATTGTCTACACATCAGGAATGTAGTAACTCTCTGTGAGTAATAAAATGCTTCCATGTGAAAAGCCAGCAGATGTAAAGACAACAAAGTACTGCTGCTGGTCTAAACCATCCAGGCAGTGTTGCTCTGCAGGGGACAGCTGTGTGTCAATCAACGTGCCTAGGGGCTAGGAGGGGAGGAAACCTGTGAGATATTGTGTGTGTGTGTGTGTGTGTGTGTGCTCCTTATACCTAAGCCAAAGGTGTTTTTGGTAGGCAGAATGGAAAACTACTTGATCAAATAAATAAAAGCTATTTTTGGCATTTAAGTCAAATGTCCATGTACAGTTATGTACATCTAATAGCTCCCTGTGCATGATGGGGCAGGCCCATTCCTCAGCACTCTCTCAATGACTGTGGATCCTTGGGGGGAGGGAGGGGAGGAGGACGCACAACCCAAGCCCAGTTTTCTTGTTTTCAAGCATATTTCCTGGGGACTAGTAATAGATTCTCTCAAATTAAGAGCAAAGACACCTGACCATGAAGTGCCGACTCCTAGCACCGGAGAGGATCAAAACCTCACAGATGAGTGACTGAGTGATGTCACTCAGAGAATTTGCCAATCTTTCTTTGAAATCATGCTCCTTTTACAAGTAGAAGAAAAAAAAATCCAGGTTTACACCAAATATGTATTTTTAAAAAGTTAAATCTTTTAAAAATTCTTAGAAGGAATTTTTATAATCCTATATAAAATAAAATCATGGTTTATAATAAAAGTGTTTAGCGTTTCCAACCTGTGAAAAACAACATTGAACTGCAGGCAACAGTTTATAGAGATTGGGTCCCAGAGTGACATTGTCATCTCTGACACAGCGATGGGAGACTTGTCTAGTTTTACTAATACACCCCAAACTATTTAGTGGACAACGAGTATCAAGTGGCAATTCTAAACTGCCACCCCATACCTCTAACCAACACTAAATCAAGTCTGTGGCAAGACTCTTGGATGTACAAGGCTTGAGAGGAGAGGTAATGGCTTCTCTCCTTGCCAGGCAAGCTGCAGCCAACGTTCAGCAGTCCAGTGACTTGATGGCCTGAGAGGCAGGAGCCACACAGCTTTCTTTTCCAACCTGAAGAGACTCACTGCTGATGGACAGTAATTCTCGAAGTTCCTTATTTTCAAGCTGGGGAGAAAAGATATTTCCTGTATTTTAACTGTTAAACTGTGTCAGAACGTATTATTCTGGGCCAGAAAGAGGAAAAATATTTTTTAACTTAATGTTTTTATTGATTATTTGGAAATTTCACACAATGTATCCCAATCTCATTCATTTTCCAGTCCTTCCTGGATCAACTTTTACACACGACTGTCCTCCCACCCCACCTCCGAAAAAAGAAGAAAAAAAGAAAAGAAACAAAAAGGCCAAGTCCATTTTGTGTTGCCCATATATTCACTGGAGCGTGTCCAAACTGCCAGTGAGCTGCCCCTTAAAGAAAACTGAGTCCTTCCCCATCCCCACCCCACCAGAAGCCATCAGCTGTGAAGAACTACACTTTAGCATCCTACTACAGAGAAAAATATTTTTAAAGTTTTTTTTTTTTCTTTTCGTTTTTTCGAGACAGGGTTTCTCTGTGTAGCTCTGGCTGTCCTGGAACTCACTCTGTAGACTAGGCTGGCTTCAAACTCAGAAATCCGCCTGCCTCTGCCTCCCAAGTGCTGGGATTAAAGGTGTGCGCCACCACCGCCCGTCATTTTTAAAGTTTTAAATGATTTAAAAAAATTGTTTTTAAGATAAAGCCTCTGAGTGGAGTTTGCTGGTCTAGACACTGCTATGCAGATCACAAGGTCTTAAGCTAACAGATATCTGCTGGACTCTGCCTCCAGAGTACTAGAGGCATGCACCACCACACCTAGACTTTAAATGAATAGGACTTTTCATTTTAGACTTATTTCAATATTTTACGTATATGAATGTTCTACCTCCATGGATGTCTGTGCATCATGTGCATGCCTGGTACCCTGGAAGGTCAGAAGAGGACACTGAATGCCCTGGGTCTGGAGTTACATAGGTTGTGAGTCACCACCTTGTGGGTGCTAGGAATCAAACCCAGGTCCTCTGTAAGAGTAACAAGGGCTCTTAACTGCTAAGCCATCTCTCTGGTCCTTAATTTAACTACTAATTTTGATACTTGACACCTATCACTTCCTTTGATTTCTAGCTAAGGATAGGTTACAGTCTATCTTAATCCTCTCTGTAGAAAATCATTGTCTGTTTGAGATAGGGTCTCATGTAGTAGGTGGAGGCTGGCTTGGAACTCCTGACCCTTCTGTCTCTATCTCCTAAGCGCTGGGATGACAGGTGTGTGTCATCATGTCCAGACCTTTACTGGACACCCAGACAGACTACGCCATTTCCAGCTGCACCAGGCTGAACACGTCCTCTACTAGATAAATGACATCTCCCAGTACTCTCTAGTTACTTTTACTTGTGTGTATGTATGTTTTGCTTGCACCATGTATGAGCATCATCTGAGTGCCTGGTGCCCTTGGAGGCCAGAAGAGAGCATCAGATCCCCTGGAACTGGAGTTACAGATGGTTGTGAGTCACAAAGTGGCTGCTGGGAACTGCATCCTCTACAAGAGCTGTAAGTACTCTTAACTGCTGAACTATCTTTTCAGTCTTAGTATTCTCAATCTTTCTTCTAGCACTTACATACCATTCGGTACTATGTCCTTTCTTCATTAGATATAGGCAGGGACCTTATCTTTTTCTTCTGGAATTTCTCAAAGTCCCCACTATAAGACCTGAAGTAACCAGTCAAATCTTCACACCACCTACTGAAGTATATTCTCTGCATATTTTTACACTCATACACATACAATAACATTAAAAAAAAAACATGATTTTACTTGTTATCCATCCATCCATCCATCCATCCATCCATCCATCTCTTTTTGTTGTTTTTTTGTTGTTGTTGTTTTTTGGTTTCTCGAGACAGGGTTTCTCTGTGTAGCCTTGGCTGTCCTGGAACTCACTCTGTAGACCAGGCTAGCCTCGAACTCTTGAACTCAGAAATCTGCCTGCCTCTGCCTCCCAAGTGCTGGGATTAAAGGCGTGCACCACCACCGCCCGGCTTTTTTGTTGTTTTTTTGATACAGGGTTTTTCTCTGTAGTTCTGGCTGTCCTGAAACTCACTCTGTAGACCAGGTTGGCCTCGAACTCAGAGATCCACTGCCTTGAAGTGCTGGAATTAAAGATGAGGGCCACTAGAAACCAGCATTTACTCATGTTATTTTATGCATGTGTGTTTGCATGTATGTGTGTATGTATACATGGTACATGCATGCCTAGTATTCCTTCAGGTCAGAAAATGGTGTCAGATAACCTAGAAGATTAGGGAAGACTGTGAGTGGCCATGTGAGTGTTGGAAACTAAACTCAGGTCCTCCCAAGGGCAGCAAGTACCCTTAATTGCTGAGCCATCTCTCTAGCCCTTTAGTTGTTTTTTTTTGTTGTTGTTGTTTTTTTTTGTTTTTGTTTTGTTTTGTTGTTGTTGTTTTTGAGATAGGATTTCTCTGGCTGTCTTAGAACTCTCTCTGTAGATCAGGCTGGCCTCAAGAGATCTGTGTGTCTCTGCCTCCAGAGTGCTGGGATAAAAGGCCTGTGCCACCACTGCCCAGCTTCTGTACTGCTATTCTTGATCAAGGTTAGATTTTATCTATTTGACTTTCTGTTATGGAGAGAAGTCAGCTTATATATGACCCATTCCTCCTCTCCTCTCTGCTTTTTAATATATTCATATATTTAATAGATACAGCAACTAAGCGCTGTCCCAAGCCCCATAGTTGACATTTCCATTGACTGCTGCTGACTACATTCATTTATTTTCCTGAAAAGGGTATAAAAGGAGAAACTGAAATTTTAAATCATTAGGACACAGAGAACATCAACACTGCCAACTAAAGCAACACAGGAGGCTGAGGCAGGACAGTTTTGAGCTCTTGGTCAGTCCAGGCCCCATTCTGAGAGGAACTCCTTCCTCACTCTCTTCTTTTTTTGAGGCATTTTTGTAAACAGAGGAGAACATTAATATATGATAGGACAGTGGTGACGGATCCCAAGAGCCTTTAAAACCATTACAACCAGTGAACTTAAAAAAATAAATAATTAAAAAAAAAAAAAAGATGACTTTCTGACAGTGTCCGCCTTACCTCCAGCTGAGCTAGTTTCTCCTGAATCTTACAGAACTGGTTATCATCCACCTGAACGGCTCTCCGCATCACTGCCCCCATTTCACAGATTCTATCAATCTGACTTTCAATTTCCTGAGAAAATAAGATGAAGAAAAAGTTCCTAGTTATGAAGACTACCGAATGCATGTGCAGTATGAATTTTACACCTATAAAAACCTATTTATTGAGAAATAAAACTAAGTGGGGAGTGGCTCACTTAGTACATGCTACAGAAGTTACACTATCTTTTGAGCTATGATGCTATCAATCTGTGGCATTTCAAGTAATTTCCAAGTTTCAAAAGAATGTTTGATATCCAGGTGCCAGGCGTGGTGGCACACACATGCAATCCTAGTCCTTTGGAGGCCCAGGAAGGAGGGTTAGGAGTTAAGAGACCAGCCTGGGCTAAATGAGACCTAGCCTCAAAACAAAATGAAAAAAAAAAAAAACCAAATAAACAAAGAAACAAAACACCCAACCAACAAAAAAGTAATAGAACAGACAACTCAAATATTTAGATATTTAAAACAATGAAATGTTTTAAATAATCCACTGCTTAAAACCCCTAACTACAGAAGATGAAATGTAGTGCATCTTTCACTGTAATAAATAGTTGCTTCCAGTTAATTACTATGGCTTGAAACATGGTACACACGAAAATAGGACAGGGAAGCACCCTACAAAATGCAAGCTAATTGCTGGCTCCTCCCAGTTAAACACCAAAGGATCAAAGCATAGGAACTGCTATAAAACAAATGAACAAGACTTGTCCCTCCTCCATAAGACTGTGAGCCATTTAATGAAGTTAGTGACTGCTTGCTATGTGGAAGATAGGGATAACATCGGACTCATGTCCTTGGAACTACAAAACTGATGGCTTGATAGAATGTACAAAAATCAGCTAAGTAGTCACTGAACACCGTCAACACTAGCTGGTATTATGCTTGGTTCGTAGCTTGCTATGTAGCCCAGGTTGGCCTCCTCTAAATCTTTCTGTGTCAAGGTGAAAAGATCCTCACCAAGGGAGGTGACTTTACCACTAAAAAGGATGTGAGAGGCCCTTATCCCCTCCTCTTATTCATATCCTCACAAAGCGACAGCCAAACACAGAGTCATTATGAAAAGATGCAGAGAGAGGAACATGGTTTCTGCAAACAAAGGAACAATTTCAGTTGAGTTTATTTATAACTTATTTATCAGTTTTTCTTACTGCAGAGTGAGACTGGTGAGCTTTCAAAACTGGTTCGGCATCCACTGCTTTTTTAGCGACCATTAACTGTAACATCTGTTTCCGGTACTTGCTCATGATGAGTTCCAACGCATCCTGGTGCTCCTCTAAGGAAACCCACAGCTCTAACAAAAACAAAAACAAACATCTGGGCAATGATGTTTATGACAGGTCTCAAGGCAAACCTCCCAACAGCTGGAGCTCTCAGACACTCCATGGGACACTGGGAATCCAAAGCTGGAAACCAGTATTCAAGTCCACAGAAGTGAACAGTATACCTGAAGGACAACTCTCTAGGCAGTAGAATCTTGTGGAGATAAAATGGGATGTGTGATCACAAGCCATGGATTTGAATTCAGCTTTCTAGTTTACTTCTCAGAAGCAAAATGATCTCACTTAAAAAAAATTTCTACATTTTGATGATTTGTGCAAACCACAGCACATATGGGGTCAGAGAAGAACTTCTAGGAGTCAGTTCTCTCCTTAAACCAAGTGGGTCCTTGGAATGAACTCAGGTCCTCAGGCTTGGCAATCCAGGCCTTCTGGCTAGTACCATTGCCTCTGGGTCATTTTGCTGGTGCATGTGAACCTGTTTCTTAACTGTATTGTGTAAATATTTGGACAGGGAAATATAGTGGACTGGTAGATGTAAAAGGTCTCTGTAAGACAACTACCATACTGTTGCCATTAACAATCCTAAGAATATATATTTGGGGGACGAAGTTCTAACCTTCCATCTTGCACAGGAACATTAAAGAAACCTCCATCTTAACTTTAGTGTTCACTCTAATTAATACTGAAATGTTACATTTAGAGACTATGAACTTTAGCTATAGAAACCTCCATTTGGTATGTGCCCACTCCCTGGCCATCTTAACAACTCAACTCTACTAAACTACTGTGAGACCTTAGTTAACTTAGAATGGCTACCAGAGAAATCAAAAGGACGGAATGAGGACAAGCCTCAAAGTAACAGGAAAAGAAGTGAGAAAAACAATACTGAGGAAAACCATAGAATGTACTGGCTGTATGCCACCTGTGGTCTACATAACCTGTGATACATACTTCCCCATTAAAAAAAAAAAAAAAGATTAGCCGGGCAATGGTGGCGCATGCCTTTAATCCCAGCACTTGGGAGGCAGAGGCAGGCAGATTTCTGAGTTCGAGGCCAGCCTGGTCTACAGAGTGAGTTCCAGGACAGCCAAGGCTACACAGAGAAACCCTGTCTCGAAAAACCAAAAATAAATAAATAAATAAATAAATAAACAAACAAAGAAGCAGAAGTGACAGACATTGGGCGCTTCGGAGTGGCCTTCTTTTCAGACCAGCTGGCTAGCTGAAGGGTCTTTCTTAATCAATAAAATTGAGGAAGAGAAAGACAGGGTCTATGGATTCGGGGGCCCAGGCCACCTGGACCAAGTTCCCTATACTGCCACCTGGGAAGATCTGGTGACAGACCCCGCTCCATGGGTCCGGCCCTTCATTTCTCTTACAGATTTGAGTGCATCTCCCCCCCATCCTTATCCTCTGTCTTTTCAGTTTCTACACAGGAGAAGGGGAAGAAGATCCTCCCATCCATAGACACTGGTCTCTTGTTGGCGGACCCACCACCTGCCTATCCGCCTACCACGAGGCCTGCCCAGGTCACCTTATCGATGGCCCAGGCCGGTCCATCTGCTCCACCGGCAGGCCCTGAGAGTCAGGGCCCACTAGATTCTGGTGGAGGAGAGGGCCTGGATGCAGAGACCCAGAGCTGGAAGGCTGGAACCCCCCGACGTTCTGGTCCTGCCTCTCAGAGCCTACAGGCTGTCCATGAACAGGACAACCAACCCTTGCAGTATTGGTCAGTCTCGGCCTCTCTTCTATGAATCCCAAGGCTTTAAATGATTTACTTGACTCACTCTTGTTCTCACATCAGCCCACTTGGGACGACTATCAGCAGCTTTTACAGGTTCTTTTTACCACGGAGAAAAAGCAATGGATCCTCCTTGAGGCCAGGAAGAATGTTCTGGGGACGGATGGGAGACTTTTCCTACTCCCTACCGACATTGATGCAGGCTTTCCCCTGACCCGACCTGACTGGAACCATAACATGGCAGAAGGTAGGGAGCACCTGAAGGTCTACCGCCAAGCTCGAATGGCAAGTCTCTGTGGGGCTGCAAAGTGCCCTACCAATTTGACTAAGGTAAGAGAGGTGACACAGGGGCTGACTGAGTCTCCCTCCACTTTCCTAGAGAGGCTAATGGAGGTGTTTCGACGTTCACTTCCTATGACCATTGTAGTCATAAACACAAGGCCACTGTTACAATGGTCTTCATAGATCAGTCTGCTGGAGACATTCGTAGGAAGTTGCAGAAACAGGAAGGACTTCAAGATAAGACTTTGAGAGAATTAGTGCAGGTAGCCGAAAAGGTATTTGATAATAGAGAGACAGAGGAGAGAAAGGAGAGAGGAGGCAGAAAGAACAAGAAACCAGAAAGTTAAAAAGAGAAAAAAAAAAAACAGGAGAGAAACTTACAGAAAATCTTGGCCACAGTAGTCAGGGAAACCTGAGAGCCTAGTAGGACAGGACCAGACAATTGAAGGAGGCCATTAGACAAGGACCAGTGTGCTTACTGTAAAGAAAAGGGCCACTGGGCCCGCAAATGTCCTAAAAAGAAGGTTAGAGAGGCCCGAGACTTCAAAGAGAAGACAAAGAAGAAACCCTAACCACACAATATACTTGCCCTGGAAGAAGACAGTGATTGGGGGGAACAGGGTTCAGAGCCCCTCCCCAAGCCCAGGGTAACTAACTATAAAAGTGGAAGGGAAATCTACCCAATTTTTAGTGGACCCAGGGGCTCAACACTCGGTCTTCTTGAAGACAGATGGCCCCCTATCTAATAAGACGTCCTGGGTCCAAGGGGCCACTGGCAATAAACAATAATCATGGACTACCGAAAGAACAGTGGACCTCAGCGAGGGCAGGGTATCCCACTTGTTCATAGTCATCCCGGAGTGCCCCATCCCCTTTTGGGTAGGTACCTGCTTGCAAAAATAGGGGCTCAGATCCACTTCCTCCCAGAGGGACCCCGGGTAAAAGATCAACAAGGAAATCTCTTACAAATATTGACTTTTAAACTAGAAGATGGTAGAGGAAATATTTCCCAGATTCTGAGTTCCAAAGGTAATTGCTCAAGTAAGTCAGGAACTGGCCAAGTACTTGGGGCTTGATTGGAAACTTCACTGCATTTATAGACCCCAGAGTTCAGGTCAGGTAGAGAGGATGAATAGAACTCTGAAAGAGACCTTGACTAAATTGTCCATGGAGATTGGCTGTGCTGACTGGGTGACTCTGGCATGCTGGAATAATAAACCTCTTGCTGCTTGCATCAATCTCAGTCTCCATGTCTCTGTACACTTTGTGCCCTGGAGTTGAGACCCTCGGGTCCAACACTACTAAACACTTTTTTTTTAATTTAATTTTTTTTTGGGGGGGCTTTTCGAGACAGGGTTTCTCTGTATAGCCCTGGCTGTCCTGGAACTCACTCTGTAGACCAGGCTAGCCTTGAACTCTCGAACTCAGAAATCCCCCTGTCTCTGCTTCCCAAGAGCTGGGATTAAAGGCGTGCGCCACCACCGCCTGGCTACTAAACACTTTTAAAGTCATCAACCAGGAAGACTTTTAAAAGACGAATCTAACAGATTTTACTGTTACCAGTTGACCCTTTAAGCGCTGACCTAAATACATGTATGGGACTTGCACTCTTGTGACCTGTTCAGGAACTTGTGTAAGAACGTCCAAAGTATTACCAGAAAAAAAATCCTAGACACACATACACACCCCCACCCACCCACCCACACACAGGCTGACTAACCTCTGTTTTCCTGCTGCAAGTCTCTAATCTGGGTATTCTCTTGAGACAGCAGAATGTGAGGTTTATATTTAGACATGTCCTTCACGTCGGATGCATCCTCTTGATACTGGACAGAGAGACAGACTAAGGCACTGCAAACACAAGCAGGTGCTGCGGAGGCAGCAGTCCCATCCACTACAAAGGAAGCTCTCACATCTGCCCTGCCCTCCGGACCAAGGTAAATTGGCCCGCGACCCCACCCACCCGCCCACAGCGTCCACCCAAGGGCGCAGCCAGGCTCCCGGCCGACCTGCTCGGGTAACACGGCGCCCGCCTCCCGCATCGCCGCCACCCGCCGGTGCAGCGCGGCCGACTGGTCCACCAGCGACTCGGCCGCTGCATCGTGCTCGCGCAGCCGCTCCAGCAGCGTCTTGGCATCCGTCAAGATCTTCTCGATCGTACAGCTCATAGTGGCCGAGGAGACGCGCCCGGCCCGCTAGCCTTGGCGATTCGCTCAGCCCTTCCCCGGCCTTGGCTCAGCGCGACTCGCGTCACTTCCGGGTACGCTTTAAAGGCGCCTTGGCAGCTCGGCGCCTGCGCAGTGAAGGATTTTTGGTTACACTCAGGCTTCGCCACAGCCTTTGTAGGGTGGAGCAGCAGAGGTCTGATTGGTGCCACATCCTGGTTTTTCACGATGTTGCTTCTGTTCTGGTCTCAGTCCAGCATTTCTTCTGGTTTTGATTGATGTGGTCTGTTATTTAGTAATGGCAAATTGATGACACAAATGCCCTCCCCACAAGAAGTGGTAAAACACACCTGAACGGCTCCCTCCCTCCTTCCTATTTCTTCCTCCCTTTTTTCTCCTCGCCCACTTCTTTTCCTTTTTTCCTTCCCTCCTTTCTTCTTTAAAAGGTGAGCAGTGTCTGGGGATGACTCCTGAAGTCGCCCTTTGACTTCCACAACTGCACCTGTGTATACAAACACGTGCACAGGCAAATACACAAAGGGAAATCTTTCCTTAATGCAATGTTGAAAGCCTTTTGATTTGGGAGGTATTGTGCTATTCTACAGCATTATGACGGACTGTTTAACGAGTACGGCGGCTGACAGGGAATTCTTTTGTAAAACATTTTTGTCTAGAAGATTCTAGGACAGTAGAATAGTAGTAATGTTTTTGTTTTAAAGAGTCGTTTTCCCCGTCATACAGTCTCTTTAATCTCGAGTTCAGAGGTAACATTTAGAAACACATGATGTTAGGTGTACTTTTGTGGTTTAGGGAGGTGCCTATTGTAAAATTTTTACACCTGTAAAATTGTGTTAAGAGGCACCTTTGGGGCCGAGCGGTGGTGGCGCACGCCTTTAATCCCAGCAATTGGGAGGCAGAGGCAGGCGGATTTCTGAGTTCGAGGCCAGCCTGGTCTACAGAGTGAGTTCCAGGACAGCCAGGGCTACACAGAGAAACCCTGTCTCGAAAAACCAAACCAAAAAAAAAAAAGAAAAAAAAAAAAGAGGCGCCTTTGGGAAGATGAAATAATTTTCATGCAGAGGGAAAAGAACTTTGGAAAAACAGAATAATAGCCTTGGATAAGTTTACAACAAAGACCAGGATATATTTGTAAACGTTTTGTGGGGGAGCATTTCCTAGGACTCTTAGAAATACTTGAGTATTCAACTCCCTTGAAGTCACACAGGATGAGGGCTCAGAGTATGCGAGCTGGACATTAAGGGATAAAGATCCTCTCAATTCTTGAGAAATTGGGGTACACTTGAAGTTTATACTAGTAGCCCAAATAAACTTTCCTAAGGCATGTGGACATAGGTTAGGACATTAGAAAGGGCTGGGGGGCCGGGCAGTGGTGGCACACGCCTTTAATCCCAGCACTTGGGAGGCAGAGACAGGTGGATTTCTGAGTTCAAGGCCAGCCTGGTCTACAGAGTGAGCTCCAGGACAGCCAGGGATACACAGAGAAACCCTGTCTCGAAAAACCGTACCAAAAAAACAACAAAAAAAGAAAGGGCTGGGGGGGGGATACAAGTTTTCAGTTGCTAGCAGTACAAGTCTAAGGTAAGAAGGGAGAGGCCTCCCTTGATACCAGCGGCCATGGATAAGAATACCCAACTTGTAGACAGGCTGGTTGACTTGTTTCCAACATATTTCACTTGGTTTCCTCCCCTTGTCTCTCTGGAACTCTCTAACTCTTAATTCCTTCTGATTGATTTTGGCCACACCTCTGACTTATAGTTCTGTTCCTGTTCAGAAGACTGGCATTATATTTATATGTTGGATTGTAGCTGTTGGGCCCTTGGTCTTGCCTCAAGGACTTGGTGCATGTCCAAATGCTCACAGACACAGACATGGGGGTGGGGAGGCTGGGTGAGAAAGACTAGTATTTCAGGTCTCAAAATGAAGCTATGTTTTGAGATGCTGCGAATGCTTTAAGATTAGATTGTGAGAATTGTAGAACTCTGGGTCTGTATGCAAAACTACAGAAGAGTACACTTTGCAGCGTGGTAGTGGGTGATGGGACGGTACCTAGGGATACGGTGATGCACAACTGAGACGGCGGTTCCCTCATGCAGTGCAACACACCAAGAATACAATTCTCTAGTGCACAGAACTCTACAGCATCTTTTACTGGTCTTTGTTGTCTTGGGATGACCATAAATAGTAGTATAGAAGTGGGGTGGGGACTTGTGGGAATAAATGGGGGAAAGAGCCAGTGAAGCACTAGACTTTTAATTCCGAATACAGTATCAACAACAGCCGGGAGGTGGTGGTGCACACCTTTGATCCAAGTGTTCAGGAGGCAGAGGTAGTCAGATCTTTTATTTGGGGACAGCCTGGTCTATAGAGTGAGTTCCAGGACAATGAAAGCTACACAGAGAAACCATGTTTCAAAAAAAAAAAAAACCAAACTATACCAAAAACCCAGTATAAACAGCAATTTCTATGAACAGAACAAAATTAACTTTTAATAAATTGGAAAATTGAGTTGGGTAAGTTTATTTACATACATATACACACATATATATAAAACAGTTGCCAGGATGCACCCATAAATTGTCCTCTGTCCCCAAACCCCTACTAATAAAAAATGCTAAAAAATAAGATGAGTGTCATCAGTCAGCAGGTGGAGGTTCTTGCACACAGGCTGACTGCCAGAGCTTGACTCCTGGATCCCACACGTTGTTAGGGAAGAACTGTGCTCAGGAGTTGTCTTCTGACCTCCACATGGGCACCTGAATTAACTAACACTTGTTCTCTGTCTCTTTCTCCCCCTCCTTCTCCTTCCCCTCTCCTTCCTCCTCTTACCCCCTTCCTCTTTAAATAAATAAATAAATAAATAAATAAATAAATAAGCCTTTAAAACAGTGAGTAGTCTCTGTAAATGTGGGGTGTACTGGCAGGATTATGACATCAGCTTTGCTATTCCCAAGTGCCCCATCAGGGGCTGTGTAGGTGAATTGTTTCCACAAGGCTTCAGGATTGTCAGCGCTTTTTTTTTTTTTGGTTTTTCAAGACAGGGTTTCTCTTTATAGCCCAGGCTGTCCTGGAACTCACTCTGTAGACCAGGCTGGCCTCGAACTCAGAAATCTGCCTGCCTCTGCCTCCCAAGTGCTGGGATTAAATGCATGCACCACCACTGCCTGGTGATTGTCAGCATTCTTAATAAAAGTTAAGGAATGTCATGTGACTCACACACAATGCCAGCATTTTGGGTATCATTAGACTGTTTTTTCCCTTTAAAAAGTAAAAGAGGAACTTTTCTGGTAGATTTGACTTAATATATCATCTTTGTTAAGTAGAATAAAAACAGGGCTGTCAAGAAGACTCAGAGGGAAAAGGCTTTTGCTGCTGAGCCTGACAACTTAAATTCAATCCTGAGACCAATGTGATTGGTGAGAGCTTGCATCTGCAAGCTGTCCTCTAACTTCAACATGCACTTTGTGGCGTGTGTTCATGTGAAAAATGAGTACAATTAAAAACAGAAAAGTAGTATCAAAGCTTAAATTGCGTATATCCACCCAATGTACCTAAGCACCTTTATATTTGTTTTTTTATTTTAAATGTTATGTGATTGAGTGTTTCAGTTGCATGCATGGAAGTGCACCTTGTGCATGCAGTGCAGTCAGAGCAAAGCCAGAAGAGTGCATCAGATCCCCCTGGAACTGACTGAGTTACTGACAGCTGTGAGCTGCTTTATGGTGCTAGGAACTGAATTTGAGTCCTCTGCAACAGTGGCTAATGGTTTTTTTTGTTTTTGTTTTTGTTTTTTTGTTTTGTTTTTCGAGACAGGGTTTCTCTGTATAGCCCTGGCTGTCCTGGAACTCACTCTGTAGACCAAGCTGGCCTCGAACTCAGAAATCCACCTGCCTTTGCCTCCCAAGTGCTGGGATTAAAGGCATGTGCCACCACTGCCTGGCTCAAGCTAGTGGTTTTAATTGTTGAGGCTTTTTTGTTTGTTTTTCAAGACAGGGTTTCTCTGTGTATGTAGCCCTGAATGTTCTGGAACTCTTCTGGAACTCACTTGGTAGACCAGGGTAGCCTCAAAGTCAGATATCCACCTACCTCTGACTTTCCTTTGAAATATTGAGGAGGCTGTTCCCCTCCTTCCCCAACATAGCTCTGGCTGACCTGGAACTTGCTGTGTAGACTAGGCTGGCCTCAAACTCACAGAGATTCTCCTGCCTCTGGCTCCTAAAAGCTAAGATTCCGTATATGTGCCATCATACCCAACAAATGTTTTCTTTTTTCTTTTCTTTTTCTTTTTTTGTCCTGGAACTCACTCTGTAGACCAGGCTGGCCTCAAACTCAGAAATCCACCTGCCTCTGCCTCCCAAGTGCTGGGATTAATTAAAGGCCTGCACCACCACACCCAGCCCAACAAATGTTTTCTTATGCCTTATAGTTTCATAAAATAATACATTTTTTTCTGCACGCTAACCTGATACATCCTTTTATTTCTGACTCATCCTTTAAGACCCAACTCAAATATTTCTCATGTTTTTCGGCCTCAATTTAAGCATCTTTCATCAGAGAAAATTTCTGTAATCTCTCTATGATAATCTTGTTAACTTGACAAAATCTAGAAAAATCTGGAAAGAGAGTCCCAAGGAGGTGGTCTAGATCAAGTTGGCCTGCAGACTTGTCTGTGAGGAATTTTCTTTGTTTATATTAATTGAGGTGGGAAGAATCACCCATAGTGGGCAGCATCATTCCCTAGCCAGGAACTTTTAAACTGTGGAGAAAGTAGGGGCTGGAAAGATGACTCAGACATTAAAAATGGCTGCTTTGCAGAGGACCTGGGCTCAGTTTCAGCAGCAATCACATGGTATCACACAATAACCATCTGTACCTCCAGTTCAGGGGACCCAATGCCCTCTTTTGGCCTCTGTGGGCACCCAGCACACAAGTGGTATACAGACATACAGACACTCATGCAGGCAAAATACACATGCACACAAAATTTTAAATTTTTAAAAAGAGTGGAGAAAATAGAGAATCAGAAACCAGTGAGTGTGTGTTTCTTTATTTTCTCTGCTCTTGGCTGTGGATGTG